AAAATATCCACAGTTTGGTTATCTGCTTTTAACAGCACTGGTGTTCCGTACCAGTCATGCATATTTTTAAACCATGATGGGAGTCTAATTGCTTGCCCTGGCAGAGTTGGCGCCACGCTTGGTGCACAGTGTTATACTGATGTGCAGGGAAATGGGAAGGAGTAAAAGAATGATATTTTAAACAGGAATGTTAATTTGGGCATGTGACAGAGAGGCAGATATATCCAGGTTTATGTTTTTAAACCTCTCAAGCTTTGTTTTAGGAGTGTTCTTCGTGTGTATAACTAGCCATTGACTTAAAAAATAAAATGTGCTTTTGCCCGTGTCTCTGCTGAGACCACTCGGTGTCTAATAATTCATGCAAGTTTTTTGCCTGCAGAAATTATATTATGTCTTGCTGCACCAGCTGTGGCCAGAGGCATCTTCTCTATAATGTGATATCTCAGGATACTGAAAAAATGTACTTTTCTGATTTTCTATGAGTTTGAACACGAAAAATAAAATGATGACAATTTGTCTTTTATGCAATGACACGCCATGGGTTATGTCTTTGTCAGCAAGACTATTGTAAGACTGATGAAATTGCAGTTAAAGGTTCAAATTTTATCCTCCTCCGTTTGAAATGACCATATTTTTGAAAGACCAGGGAGCAGCCGGGACCCCCTGGCAATATGTTTGACACTCCTGGTCTAAAAGAAAACATTATACATGGAAAAAGCCAAGCCTGGAATGACAAAGAGGTAAACTGCAACTTTACTGACTGGTGGAAGCAGAAAGTTTAGTTTGGATTAAGGTGGAAACTTGTAGTATATGAAGTGTCTTGGTAAGGTGTGCAGCCAGAACAGCCTCAGTGCACGTCTCTGGAGGGATGAAGGACCATTGTTCCAAACATTTATTGATTTGCAGTGAATCTTCTCTTTAAAGGGAGTAGTGGACACAAATTATACAGAAGAACAGAGATTCCCTCCTTCCAATCTTTGTTTTTTCCCCTCCGTGTCTGTAGCTCTAGACAATAAGTATACTGCTTTGTGACATCTTAACTTTAGCCCACTGCTCATGCCAGTCTAAATGCCAAGTTGTGTATTTCTTTAACGGGATACCTGCAGCTATGGGGCGCCTGGTGTGGAGTTCACAGGTCTGCACAATGACACCACTGCTGTCACACAAATCCACTTCCTGCCTGGACAGGTGAGCTCAATTTTCTCCTGAATGTTTAAAAATGTTAAAAAACAAAACAAAACTCCAAAACATTAAAAATTAAGTTAAGGTTTCGGCAGTGAGTCATGGCACACATCATATATTAATTCTTTTCTCCCAAGGGTCGTCTGCTGTCACTGTTGGATGACAACACAATCCACCTGTGGGAGCTGGTGGCCGGACCCCTGAGAGAGGTCGGTGGGGTTAAGAAAGAGGGCGTGGTTTCTCTACAGGAAGTGAACACCTACAATCTGCCCGGCAGACCTGGCATCGAGAGCTGCAGGTACACAAGAGTCCTCTTTACAGAAACCTGAATGAAAATTGGGAACTTTTGAAAGTCTGTAATCATGTCTCGCCTTCTTTCACACCCCAACTTGTTGTTGGTTGTGCCTTTTAGAATTTTGAGTATCATAAATTTTCCTAATTTCCTTTCTCTCAGTGCCACTCGGGTGACTGTCCTCCTCTTGCTGAAGTCATGTGACCTCCTCTGCGTTGGAACAGAGGGAGGAGGCGTCTACTTCCTAGAGGTGCCCAGCCTCTCGCTGAAAGATAACCAGACACTGCTCCAGGATCAGATCACACACAGGTGAGATTGTTACACAAAAGGAATTAATACAAAAAAACATGAACAAAGAGACAACCCAAGTACAGATCAAGCAATAAATCTGTGTCTTTTTTTGTTAACTTACACTGTTAAACAAAAGAATCTGGTGGATACAGCAGCTAAGCTGATATTGGAATGGAATACATAGCCTTATTGTCTAACTGTCAACACATGTGGAAGGGTTATATTTTTTTATTTTGCAGATATTTATTAGAGAATATGAAATTATCCTTGTAAATGGCTTCACATGCTTAAATCTTTTGACTTTTCTTCACCATCCTTGTTCTCCACTCTTCTCCGTCCTCCATCACAGTGAGCGTTCCTGTAAACATTAAACACTTCAGCTTCCTCCACTCACAGCTCCAGCTGAGCAGCTCACACACATGCGGATACAAATATCCCCACTGACCCTAGCAGCAGCAGGCAGGTCAGGTTCACTGGGTTCAGGCTCCATTAAACGCTGTCAGATGTTTTATATATTAATTTATTTAGCTTTTTAAAAAAAAACAAAAAACCGACAAGTCAAAAATAATTACACACCGTAGTGTGAGTGAGGAGCACTAAAAATGAAGATATGGCTGCTTTTACTTGCAGAATAAAATGATCAAATCAGTCATGACAGTAAAGTTGACGTAACAAAGCAGCCTATTACCTAATTTTGGCTTTGTTCCGGTAACTCACTTGCACAGTTTTTTAACAGACATGTTCTGTGAAGCTTATTAAAAATGTACGTGTGTTTTTTCCCTTCAGCGCTTTTGTTTTCACATAGGAGGTTTGTGTGTGTAGAGTTGATTTGAACAAAGGTAATGTCACATAATGGATTTTTTTGTTTGTTTGTTTTAAATCAGTGCAGATTAGAAAACCTTCTTTAATTATGTGTGAGGGTTTTCAGCTTTAATTCTTCATTTTCTGCCATATTATGACAGTGGTTTATATAATATAATATTATTACGTAGTATTATTACAGTGGTATTAAATATGGCCAAAGTTGAGCCTCATTTTTGTGGGTTTTTTCTTCTTCTTTTTTCTCTCTTTTGTCTAAGATATCAGAGTGAGGGGAATAACGTTAATATTGGTCCTCTCAGGCTGTGGCCGTGAGCACAGTAGCTCCAACCACCTGCTGATGAAAACCTTCTCTATGCTAATAGCAGCCAACCATTAGAATTAGAAAGGTTTAGAGGAAGGGTGGCCTTAAAGAAAAGCTAAAAACGCCTTGTTTCAGACTGGGGGTTGCACCATGATATCAGTTGTAAAGGCTGCAAAGGAACTTGCTAACAAAGCAGTGTTAACTAGATATACAGACACCTGAAAGACGGCTATGTTACTTCAGGGCTGTTATTTGTAAGGTGTTTTTACCCCCTCCCCCTTAATGATGGTGGAGCCTCACTGTGGCAAGCAGTGATGTGAGAGCTCAGCAGTGAACTAGAACAAAACACAGTGAGAGTGGAGCACAAACACCGATCATCACACACGTAAAGGAATTCAATTGTTATCATAGAAGAATGGAAATGCAGAATGTTGTATGATATCTGACAGAAAACAAACGTGATTTTTTTTTTTTTTTGCCTCCCTACATACCACAGACTACTTTGTGGTTCGTGCTTGAGCTTTGCTGTGCTGCCACACTGGCTGTGTATCAGTACTACTGTTGTTTCTTTTTCATTCTGCTGTGACTGTGTGACTGCTTGGCCAAACCCCTCATTAACCAGGCTTGTCGAGGGAAGTAAGCAGAACTGAAGCCTAACGAGGGCGCTGATAAGGCAGGCGTACGTGTGTGTGTGTGTGAGTGTGTTTGTGCGCAAAGGAGGGGAAGTTTTAGACAGTAAAGCTTTGTACCAAATGCCAAAACACAGTATTCCGGTTGGGGAAGTGTTTCAACACACACACACACACACACACACACACACACACACACACACACACACACACACACACACACACACACACAAGCGTACACAGGATCATCTCTAGGACTCTATGGCAGGATGCTGGATTCCCTAAAAATACTTATGAACAGGGCGACAGAGACAATGGAATGCTTTGTTGGGAATGTTTCTGCCGCTGTGCTTCCGGAGAGGATCTTCCTCAGTGAAGCCTACAACAGCAGACAGAAGTTATATGTGTGTGTGTGTGTGTACGCTTCACCCGGCGCTGCTGTTCATTGATCCTTGTTTCATCTGCATTAAAGTCCATAAAGCTGCAGTACTTTCTTTCTTTATCACTTCATTTTCTCTCTCTGTCTTGGCTGTTTCGTCTCCTTTCTTCTTCCTTCGCTGAGGGAATCCTCTGACATCTCAAGGGTGTGTCCTGCTCTACATTCCTGCTCTGGCTCAGAGGAATGTCTTGTTCTCAAACTTCAGCAACTTGGGTCTTTGCTTTGTGCTGATTATACATGTTTTAGCACTTTTGCTTTGGGGTGTTTCGGTGCAAAGAACAGCTTTGTGTATTTGCTGCAGTGACTTCAACATTTTGTATAATCTCCTTGCACTGTTTCCAAAACTCTGTTGCGCCGTATGTGTACTGCATTATTTACCCTCTCCCTCCACACACCATAATTTCAGATGATAACAAACACTAAACCAGTTTGAGGATGTAGTTGTTGTTGTTTTGTTTTTCAAACTCAGCTGTTTACTGTGTCTGTACAGTGTAACCAAAACACAGAATTTCTCTCGCATGGAACCAGGTGACTCTGTCCTCTTGTATCTCTCGTGTCATTGGATAATTGTTTCATCAGACAGATGTCTGACCTCGTCAGGATGTGTAGATAAATGTAATTTACAGCCGTGTGGATCACAGTAAAGCGGGAAGCTACAGATGTGGGATAATGGATAATGTTTGTTTTCATTTTCCCAGTCTGCCAGATGACTACAGATGTGGGAAATCTCTGGGGCCGGTGGAAGCTCTTCAGGAACACCCTCAACAGTCAGGGAAGATTCTGATTGGCTACAGCCGAGGCCTGGTGGTCCTGTGGGATCTGAGCATTCGTCACGCTGAGCAGCTCTTCCTGGGCAAACAGGTACCTGTTACAGTTGGTGCTCATTGTTCTTGCTCCCAGTTTTCAGGGTGATGTTATAGCTAGATGACCTGCAGTGATGACTTTGTGTCTATGACCCTCCCCCCAGCAACTGGAGAGTCTGGTATGGGAACGCTCTGGAAACTTATTTGTCTGTTCCCATAACGATGGAGGCTATTCAGTTTGGGCTGTTACCAGTGGCAGCACCTGCAATCACCAGCCAGTGTCCTCCACTATCCCCTACGGTGAGAAATGCACACATGCATACATCACATGTCACACACTCCACACATTTGCATTTCAAGTGTAGGAGTGAAACATTCTCAGGTCTGGAGGACAGAGTGGAACCAGTGACGGACAGTGGAGTCCACAGTGATGAGAATAAGTGCTTCAGCTGAGAGCTCGCTGTGGCTCCACACACAGGCTGTGTTAGATGCATTTTTCCCAGTCATGCAAATTGTTTTCAGAATCTTTTTACCTGTCATTTTACATTTCTTTCATGATCATAAACATTTCTAAAGCATTTAACTTTTGTTCAGTAATGAGCTCTAACGTGATAAAACTCTGTTCTGCATCTTAGTTAATTCTCTCTACCACGCTGCAGACGTGTAGAGAATAGATGAAGAGCCACAAACGATATAGAGACTTTTCATGCTTACCCTTTTTTTTTTCCCTGTAGTAACAGAAGCATTGAAATAAAATGGACTAAAACTTCACTTTAAAGAGAACCTGAGAGAACTTCGCACCTAAATTACTTTGGGTGTGAATGCTGAACCCATACTTCTATTACAGTTATGAACTCGGAAGAACCCTTCCTGGAAAGTGTTACAGCTTCCTCGAGTTGTGGTGGATTCTGTAATGGTTTTGTTGCTTAAGATTTGATACTATGTTAAGAACAGACCACTACTAGTGCGCACACGGTTTCTGTCTGTGTTGGCTGTAAATTATTTAATATTCCCGTGGAGTACCCTGAGTGCTGTCTAACAGACGGCCCCTTTCATTTGCCCTCTCTTGGACTAAAAAGGATCTCTGGTAGCTTTTAATAGTCTTCTTTTTCTTCTTTCTTTTGTAATTATCTATCACAGGTCCATTTCCCTGTAAAGCCATCAGCAAAATCCTGTGGAGGACAACACAAGCAGGGTGAGTGTTAAACCTCGTTTTGCAACCTTCCTGTTAAAGTGTGTTTGAGTCCTTCTATCAAACAGGTCATTTGGAATCAGCGCTGGCGAATTTTCACTTATGACTGTTTTCTCAGATTCATTTTCATTTTATTTTTATTGGTCTTTTCTTTTGCATCCCTATATTTATGCAATTGCTGATTATTTTCCTAGTTTTGTAAATCTAAAAGGTATAATTTACCACATCATGTAACTATTATCTGTGGTGAGAAAAATACTATTAAAACATAATAAAGAGAGAAGTTAACTTAAAGTTAATGTAAAAGAATGCAGTGATGCAGAGTGAAAATAGAAAAAAAATTGTGAGGTAGAAAAGTAGCTAATCTGTGTTTCTCACTGTAGTTCTCCAGTGCTTTTATACAGTGGAGGGATGCCCAGAGCCAGTTATGGTGACCGCCACTGTCTAACGATCCAACAGGACAAAGATCACGTCACCCTCGACTTCACATCTCGAGTGATTGATTTCTTCACCGTCCACAGTGTGGAGCAAGAGAGAGGTCAGAATCTGACCTGTGTTAAAGATGGTGTATGTAAAGGTAACATTTTCACGAGTATCAAGCCTTTATCCCCTGTGTGATCTTTTCTTCTTATAGAGTTTGATGAGCCATCTGCTTTAGTGGTGTTACTAGAAGAAGAACTGGTTGTAATTGACCTCCAGACCCCCGGATGGCCCTCTATGCCCACTCCCTATCTTGCTCCTCTTCACTCGTCAGCCATCACCTGCTCCTGCCACATCTCCAGCGTCCCTCCTAAACTCTGGGAGAGGCTGGTCAATGCTGGCAAAGCACAGCAAAGCCGGCAGCACACACACAGGGTAAGAAGCACATTGGCACTGTGAATGACAGGATTATTTAGCAAATTGGTTTATACATGGCAGTACGGGATATTCAGTCGCAGGAAATCCGAGATCCTCATAAGAGGCTTAACCTGAAAACACCTTAGACAAAGTCTGACCCATCAGCTGACGTTTTACTTGGATTTATATTAAAATTGCTTGTTTCAAATCTCAAAGGCAAGAACAGTTGTAAATTGATCAGATGAGGCTATTTGCATGTAAATGGAAGTAATAAGTCACTGGCTCTCAGCCCAGCAATGAGAAGAGGAAACAAACAGGAATGTAACCATGAGCCACTGGTAGTGTGTGAGCTTTAAGAGCAGGTGTAGACGGTTAAAGGCTTTTCAAAAGCTCTGTGGCTTAGATCAGTTGTGCGATCAGTGGGAGATTAGCAACACACACGGACACACAGCTGTTACGCTCTTCATCATGGCTCTTTGTTTGTCTATGTGAGGCCAAATCAGATTGGCAGATCCTTTATCAGAGTGTGAATCTCTGTGGTACATTTTTCTGCTCTAACTTTTAAGACGAGTTCATGAGGAAAATATGTTGATGTGAAAAATGATGAGTCCTAGCTTGGTTCAGAATGATTATTTATTTATTGTTTGTGTGTACAGAGCTGGCCGATATGTGGGGGGAAAAATCTGGCACCTCCACCTAAACAACAAGAACTGCTATTGACAGGGTATTTACACACACACACACACACACACTCACTCACTCACTCACTCACTCACTCACTCACTCACTCACTCTTTGCAAGTGAATTCAGGTCTCTTGTTTTTTCCCATAACGTAAATCTGATGCTTTCTAGTAAGATTAGGTCACTAAAAGCAGCGTGAAGAAAGGATATCCTGCATTCAAAAAAATGGTGAAGGGGAAATCCCATGAAACTGTTGGTGTTGCCAACCGCACACTTGGCAGAGCTTGCATTGGCCTAAAGTGCAATAAAAAGAGTTATGTAATAGAAGTGGTTTAAAGACAATTTGAAAACTGAGAATAGCGTGAAAGCAGGAGGAGAATTTTAATGCCGCTGTTAGTTTTGTTAGCAACAAACTGACTGATGTTATCCTTGTTTTTCTCTTTCTTTGTCCTTTGTGTTTCTCTCCATTGTTTAAAGTACAGGAACTTGTTTCCATCACCAAAGATGAGTTAACTAAAAGCAATGGATTGCAGCAGATAAACACTTATATGATTTTAAAAACTTGATGGTCAGAAAGTGACAGGTTTGAATAGCTAGCTAAGAGTATAACTAACTGTTGAAGTGGGTAGTGGATAAATTGGTTAGTGTATCTATTAAACATTTTATATAGCGACCTAAAATTCAGAATTAAAAAGGAAATTATTACTTACAAGTTTGTTTAGCATAGTGACCAGCTGGTCACGCAGAGGTTGAGCTTGCAACACTCTCAACCTCTGGGTAACTTTTTTGGATTGCAATGTGGTTGCACAGGTCGTTGAGAAATAACATGTCTGCAAACCATCATGCTCTGACTGGGACTGACTGCAGTCACTCTCATACAGTTCGGTGAAGGCAATCAAATAAATGCTGACCAATTTACAAGCACGGAAGGATTGCCAACATGTTGCGATCAATTTGATTGTGCATTAATGAGCGCAACTCGTCTGGGCTGCGCTGCTTTGCTGCAGGGTACTCGACTCAGCCAGTTGCCAGCTGGTTGTGTTTTGGTTATGTTCATATATAAAAGCAAGTTACTGAATGCTTGTGTTATTTTGCAACAACTGTACCACTACGTGTGGAGGATTTTCTCTGACTGATTGCAATGTGTTGACAGTCTGTCTGCATTTATAAATTAGATGGTGATTATTTGCAAACTTTTGCCAGTCAGTCTGAGAGTGATTCCAATCGATTCACGTCAGACCACGAGTGCTTCAACTGCCATAGCAGGCAACCTGAAAAGTAGCAACTGCGTATCCAGCCAGTAAAAGTGGAACAAATTCAGTCATTGAGCAGACACTGATTTTTATTTTTTTTATTTATTTTTTTCACTAGTGATAATGAGGTTGCCATCTAATTTTTACTGCAGTGTGACTGACCCATGATTTGAATGTCTCTGTATGAACACGGCAACTTATGTAGTCATTTCTATGCCAGTTTTTCCCAGTCAATCGCCACATTATCACGTGATCCCATTCAGTCATAAACTGATGGAATCAGGTGAATCTGCTATCTTATTGCCTTTTTATTGCTGTCTTGATGCACCAACATCACTTTGAACATGGCACCTGACTAGCTGGACATAATAGACTAATAGTTTAAACTGGTCACTAGCTGTTATAGATGGCTGTTAAAGGGAGCAGTTGTTGAATTTTCTGTGATTGTTATTTATTTTAAATCTGTTGTGATTACAGCCATGAGGATGGCACGGTGCGATTCTGGGATGCTTCGGGTGTCGCCCTCACTCCGCTGTACAAACTCAGCACAGCCAACGTCTTCCACACCGACTGCGACCCTAGCGATGACCCGCAGGACCCCAGCAACGACCCCGATATGCAGCAAGAGGAGGAAGAATGGCCTCCGTTCAGGAAGGTGAGAAGCAATGAGGCTTTTCACGAAAGGAGGTGAAATGGACATAAATATAAGTCTCTCCTCAGAGTTCAGACACAGGGTCTGGTTTTACAAGCTGAGGGAATAAAAGCAATCTGTCTTTCGCACACATGCAGCCCTGTAATGCTGCATCTGTGGCCCTAATTTTCTGATTGTTTTCATGTGTTTGGATTTGAGACTGACCCACCCCATTGTTCCTCTTATTAAAACTCGACTCCAGCGTAAACCGCAGTCTGTTTCTGGTTTAATGGACAGTTTTCTGTGCAGAAATACATTCAAATGAAGTGATTCACAGTCTGGAGGCAGAATTTTGTGTCAAGGGGAATCTAGCTGAGCTGTTTGGCTTCATTAGTCAGGAGACGGGAGATTTTAAAGAAACTGTTTCTACAGTCAGAAATGTTTCTCAGTGCTCGGGCATGTGATCAGGATAAGAGCACATTATATCTGGGATTTGATATGAATGGAGAAAAA